ATTACACAAATCACAGACGCATTCAATAATACTTCTTGTACTGGCTTTTTTACCAATAGGTAAGTTAATATTTTGTGAACTGTTTTTTATTTTGTATGGCCAAGACAAGACGTCAATAAAATTGACGAAAAAGTGTCATCATAGTTTAGCATTACAAAATTACCATTGCACCATTTTTGTATAACTTACAAAAAGTATGTCCATTTCGCTTTATGTACATCGATGCTCCTCGCAAACTTTCTGCATTAAATTGCACTGTGATCCTTTGCCGGCAGGTGCACGCAAACGAGTCCCTAATCCGGCCCTGACATCGACTACACCCGAACTGGTGCTACACCGTGTTAATAATATCGCGGGAGACAATGTGCTGAGAATACTTTGATAGTTGTTCCTCGTCCCAAGAACCCACAAAACTTTGCAGTTAAGATTATACACGGTAACTTAAATTAGCATTCACAACAGTTTGGCGGGCGTTGACTGTATTGCAGAATGTAAATATGTGAAATGTCACAATGGTAACCGGGAATCCTTCATATACGCGAGATTACAATGTGAGAAACGTAGGCTCGTAGACATTTATTTCCATATACGTAAGGCCTCCTGAAAAAGTAAAAATACATTTAATCTTAGTAAGTTGACTTTTCTCTTTTTCAAAAACGGTTTTATTGATAACCGGTGCTTTTTGTATGGAGTTTGACAGATTTTTGACGTTTGTTAAAGTTAAAGTAAGATGGCGAAATCTAGCCCCACAATTTTGGTTTTTTGACAAACTGCAAGTCTGGTTTTATTTTTAAACATTGATTAATAAGATGTAAAAATAACGACATCTACCTACTTATAACATAAATTGATGAAACGATGTTGTTTTGTAATATCACAATTATCATAATACTACTGTAATATTATTAGAATTAACTTACGTAGGTAAGTAAGTTTGAGTAGATATGCTCAAACCATTGCTCAAACTATCTAAGATTATGGCATTAATGTTTAAAATACATTTACATTATTATTACGCAAAGTTCACAAAGCACTAAGCTTTGCAGATACATCAGCATTTCGTAAGGTAAACTGTCCTGTGTGCTTACCATGAGTTTACGTTAGGTGTGCTCGCTAGCGACTGCGTAAAAAAATGACATTTAATTGTATGACATATTGTGCAGCGCCCCTAGCGGCTACTTTCAAGAAACAAAATCTTCATAGAGATTTTTGACGTACTCGCTAGCGAGCACACCTAACGTAAACTCATGGTAAGTACACTGAAACCAACTCTATCTCTGTCTAAAGTTAACATATTACATAGGCAGGATACTGCCTATAAGTATAATATGCGATATGCATATGAAACTATTAATATATTTAGCAATCAAATCACGTTCAGCAATCAACTGGGTTACCGATGCAAAGCCCGACCACTGCACAAGGGTTGCTCATTCGGGATGAATGACAATTATTATTTCAACAATCAAGATGGGATATTTGTTTAAAAAAACATTTTTATAGAACTAACAACCTTCATAAAAGGTCGCCTATTTTGTAACCACTGTCTTTCACCCGAAGACCTTATTTACATTTTGTGTGTCAGAGCAAAGCCAATCAGGTACCCGTATGTCAAAGAACGGAACATTTTCCCGAATAAAACTCTGGAGCAAGGGTAAAAATACGCTGTATGGACGGATGTAAATATGCGGATAAAAGGCAACCTGTCGCCACGTAGCACATAATGGTTGTCGTCCACGTTATCCATTACGCTAACGAATTTTGCTCTCGGCAGCCGATTCATTAGAAAGCCATTCATCTCTCGCTGACACGACGCCACCGGCGCAGCGCACTACATAATTGAGACTAAACACACGACCACTGGCCATTTACACTCGATTTTGTTTGAAACGGTTTTCAATCGATATTTCAATATGCATTTGATGTTGATAGGTAAATTTGCCCTGAGCACAAATCACTTTATTCACACCATGGCACAAAAGTGCCCAAGATATATGTGTCATATTGTCTAATATGTACAAAGATCCAAGAACCAGGTAGTTAGACGTAAAATGTGAATAACCTAGTGAAAGCAGAAAATACAAATTTTACAACCTAAGCGTTAAAATTATGAGGCTTCAGGCCCGGATATTAATATCCAGTTACATTTCTACTCGAAGTGCCGGCCTTTGTTGTAAACCGCCTACGTTTGTTTACAGACTAAGCAAAAACACCATAATCTGATATTACGATCACGCGACCCACTAATATCTTGAAGCAAAAGTGTGCCAGAATCAGAAGGAAATTCACGCCACAACAGGTAGTTAGTGTGGTGGAAAGTTTCTAACTTGACAAATGTAAAGCCCGGCAGAGCACACAAACGGGCCGTATGCATTTAGTTGAACGCAAACTTTTCGCTTTGTAAGGAAAGTGTGCAGTTTAAACTGCAGCCGCCCGCCGCCCGCCTACCCAATATCCGTCAGAGAGCGCGGGTATTCAGCCGGGGGACCGGCGCGATTGTGAGTCGCCCGCGCCGCTCGCGTCTGATAACAACTCATCCGCCGCCATTCCGCACAAACTTTTCTCTTCCTCTTGTCACGGCTCACGTACCTATCACACATGAATAACACCCGATTCTCCCCAAACTTTTATTGACACAATTTTAACATCGCCCCGTCCAAAAACACGAAATTCCCCGATGAGCACGAGTTGGCTCGTTAAGTTGTAGTGTATACGCGAGGCGGTGTTTGCACGCCCGCCCTCAAAACCAGCAAACAGTCTCAAGTTACACCCTCGCAATCTCTGAAATAAACATGCGTCGAGGCCACTACTGCTAACAACCTTAGCAACTTGGGCGCGAGAGCTTTACTAACTCTAGAGGATTAATCTTACGCGAGATTCCCTTCAGTGTATGTAACTAACTTTAATTACGATCAAATATTAAGAAGTTGCAAACTTTGCGTGCGCACACATAGCACCTATCAATATTAAATGACCGTCAGCGTCCTTTATAAAGTTTGGGGTTTTTTGCCGAGAAAATGACTTAGAAGTTGTAATTACTCGCCAGGCCTCACATAAACTTGCCGCTTGAATTTCACGAATACAAAATAAGGAGAAAACTAACTTTTACTAAGAGTAAAATGTAAGTGGTAGGGGGGTGCCTGTAGCTCAGTAACAGTAGCGCTTTTGTAGTGGTTAACAAAGTTAAGCAACCCATGCTGCGGTCGTAAGTATAACCATTCAGATCGTAATATTATTTCTATCATAAATATCGTTACGCCTGTGCATAATATGTCATTTTACTGCCTTTGACAATTTGATACATTGAACCAATCCACGCTAGGTAGGTACACCTGACGAGACCAATTGGCCGCAAATTCGGATTGTAGCACATGAACGTATTTTTCCATTAGTTAAAGGATTTGTAATATTGCATATTTATATGCTCCAAGCTTTACAGCGACTACAGTGCATAATCAACAAATTAATTAAAATATTTTGCGCGAACGACCTCCTGACATGGCATAAATATTAAATACCTAATTCTGTCTATTAATTAGCGAGTAATTTATTCATCATTTTCAATAAATCACATGACATATTATTGTATTATTTCCAACGTTATTTTATTACGTGCTATACGGTTTTCGTTTGTTAATTATTAACCATTAATTGTTTTATTATTAAAACATATTATCAAACAATGTCGCGTTCAATAAGCATGAAATATTGAAATACATTTCGATCATAATCGAATCATAATTAATTAACGAGGAAAAAATATTTCAATCATGTTTGATCTTATTACCGTGCTTTGCCAAATTTTACGAAACTTGAAACTCCTTGGCAAAAATAACTTGGTAACTTGGCAAATTTATAAAAATATTACATGCAGTTTCGAAACTTACCAACTAAAGGCCTGATATTTGATATTTAATCAACTGTATTAAATTGTTGCATGATAACGTTAATCTGTTGCAAATTAGCACAGCAACAAGATACGCACAACTCCCTACATACGCAACACGCATAACGATTAACCGATATCGTTATTAATTCTGTAAGCGATCCTTCATTAACCGAAGAGTTTTAATTTTAGTAAGTGAAAACGCTGAGGCGAGATAAAGAATTTGTTACAAGTTGGGGCCGAAACTCCCGGGGGCTAATTACATTGTTACATGACAAAACTTTTGGGTCGGGGGAAGTTTCTTTACGTTCCTTACACAGGCTTACGCTCTGCTGAGACCAATAAAATCACCTCTGCATCGGAGCACACACAGGCTTGTATTATCTATTGACCAATTTAACGCAATTGTTCTAACTCCAAATGATTAAATTCTCCAGTTGCCATCATAATTTTATCGCGCGCTTCGAATTGTTTAATGAATTCATCGTAAACCAATTAAGGTTTGCTTTCTCACCAATAACAAAATTAAATCTCGTTTATTGGATAGTAAATAATTTGAGTTATTTTAAGCGCGTACAACTTGCTAAACTTAATTATTCAAAGTTATTCAAATTAAAGTAGCCGTTATATTTTGCATTCGAATTAGTTCGTGCTTTTATTAACATGTCTGTTTGTAAAAGGCAATCTCTGGGACCATTGATCGAATTCCAAGAATAATTACACTAATAGAAAGCAAACCCCAACCATTTATATCAAGGTTGTATTCCTGGAATACATTTTCCGTGGTCATTGTATTACGAAGAATGAATTGTACACCAAATGGCATATCAAGTGTATGGGTGTTATTTCATGTGCAATAAGTAATAGTCAACATGCTACGTTTGATATACTTACTGTTGTGTACGTAAGTGAAACCGCGGGCAGAGCAAAGGCTGGAAAAAACCAAGGTCTCTTTTCTGTATAATTAGCTCAAGCATAATTTATTATACTTCATGCTTCGTTCTCGAGATTAGCATATTAAACACTTGTAGTAACGTGTAGCACTCACCATTCCACAACACTATTTGAGAATTTTTATTTCACACTTTTTTTTTTTTTTTTTTTTTGTCGGGTAACTCGATTTTTCCCTTCCCAATAACTTCATTCCGCCATTTTCATCATTCGTGTTCCAGTGCTTTGCCGTTCCACACGCGCTCGTCGTAATAAAAAGTGAAAGTTAAAAGTGAAAGTTATACACGTCACCACTAGTATTAGTTCATTTGTTTATTACGGAAAAATATGCCGAAACGTAAAAGTAATAACGATTGTGATCGCATACAACGGAAAATTAGGAAGTTGGAGAAAAAATTAGCGCGCAAAAGGCGCCGTCGACGTCATAGCCGTTCCGATGAGGAGTTATCGTCATCTTCTTCATCACGTCGATCGTCGTTAAATAAACAAGGTACTTACACTACTATTATTCACGTCGAAACAAGTATGATAGACCTTTGAATTATGCAGTAATATACGTAGTTCTTATAATTATTATCGTAATACAATATTATGATATTTTATATTTTGACTTACCCAATTTACCTACATATAAAAATAATTTATTATTAATGTACATTTACATTAAATGCCTGAAATATTAGTACTGCGGGCAGTACAGTGGGACTGTCTCTTTACTTTTAACAGGTTATTTTCTTACAAGTACATAATATTATGAAATATCAGTTTGCGGACAGTACTTGCTATGCCCTGGGACTGTCTCTTACTGCGAAATAGTAATTGTTAAATATATTAATTGTGGTTTGCGGACAGTACATGTTATAAATAACTAGGGACTGTCTCTTGCCGTGAATTCTACCTACTTAGCTTTACGTGCTCTGCGGACAGTACGTGTTACTTTAACTGGGGACTGTCTCTCAGCACAGTGGCTTAGAAGTGGTATGTCTTTTCAGACTACGACTACATCGGGTTGACTGATGATGAGGATGCGTATGTAGATCTACCCGCGCCACAGTCGGAAACCGATGGAAGGCCACCAGAATCTGGTGATGAGAACAAAACTGAAATGACTTCGTCAATACCCTCTGCCGTAACAGTTCCATCGAATAATGTCGTTCCATCGACTTCGACGACTACGGAACCTTCCACGTCAGCCGAACCAGTGGCAGTTGCAGTCGAAGACTCCTCCAACTTAGACAACGATCTATTGGACATACTGGGGATTGATCCCACCACTGATAAGAAATACGGTAAAGATTTACACAAAGATCTTTCCGTTAGATTACAACATTGGACCACTGTTGGTCTTGACAAGGACCTTAAAAAGGAGTTAAAAGATAGATATTTAACGCCCGGAAATTGCAAATTGATTGATCCACCAATTTTGAATGCAGAAATGAAAGCTGCTATTTCTGACATCAATGTTAAACGTGATAAGGCTATTGAAGCTAAACAGAAGGTACTTACCTCTGCTATAGTCTGTCTAGGAGAAGCTATTACGCTTCTTTTACCATCTAAAGACAAGGATACCAATCTTATAAAGTTGCTGATGGACGCAATTCGAATAATTTGTGAATGCCAACATAGTGACAGTGCCACGCGAAGAAATTTTGTTATGGGTGGTCTTAAAAAAGAAATCAAAGAGCAGCTGCAAAACACCAATATAGACAAGTTTCTTTTTGGCGAAAATTTAGCCGAAACTTTGAAGTCAGCAAAAACAATTTGCAAAACTGGTACAGATTTAAAACCACCTGCACCTAAGAACCCTATTAAGAAACCAACGACCTCTAATTCCACTAGGAATTTAAACTGGCAGAATCCGGGTCCGAGCCGCAGGCCAACGGGTCCACCAAGGATGAGGCAGCCTGCATCGACCTCGACACACAGTCGGCCCAACAGCTCATCAAAGCCGTCGCAGCATCATCAGCAGCGACCGGGCTACAATCGTCGCTAGACTCGGTAAAAACCGCAGGTAGACTAAGCGCATTTTACGATCAGTGGCAAATGGTTACAAAAGATCCAGTCGTTCTTTCATATATTAATGGCTACGAAATCCCTTTTTCGAGGCCTCCAGTTCAATCTTTCCAACCTATTAATAGGAAATATTCCGAGTCGGAAAGAATTCTTTTTATTGAGGCCATTGATAAGTTATTAATAACAGGAGCAATATCGAAGTGCTGTGCCCATCAGGACCAGTATTTATCAAATATTTTTTTAATACCCAAGCCAAATGGCACAATGCGATTTATTTTGAATCTGAAGTCTTTAAATAAATTTATTGATACGAATCATTTCAAATTGGAGGACTTGAGGACTGTTTTAAAACTTGTGTCAATAGATAGTTATTTATGTAAAATCGACATAAAGGACGCGTACTTTTTAATCAAAATACATGAGGATTATCGCAAGTACCTCAGGTTCCAATTTGAAGATTCTTTATTTGAATTTAATGTTCTTCCATTCGGATTGAACACCGCTCCATATGTATTTACGAAGGTCATGAAACCGGTTGTAAAATTGTTGAGAACCGCTGGACATATGTCAACCATTTACTTAGACGATTTGTGTTTAATAGGACATGACTTTTGGACATGTCTTGAAAATTTGCAAGAAACTAAAAGTCTGCTCACAGCTTTGGGCTTTATCATCAATGATGAAAAAAGTAGCCAAGAACCATCACAAACTTGCACATTTTTAGGATATGTTATAGATACAAAAAAATTCCAGGTCACCTTGCCAAAAGAAAAAGTTTTAAAAATTGAATCGGAATTAACAAAATTTTCAAAGATTAAATGCTGTAAAATTAGAACCTTTGCCAGTTTTGTAGGACTATTGACATCAGCTTGCCCAGCTGTAGAATATGGGTGGCTTTATACGAAACTTTTTGAAAGATGTAAATATCTTAATCTAAAAAATACACTTAATTATGATAAAATTATGTCCATACCAAGGACATTAGATTCGGATATTGACTGGTGGAAATGTTCTATCCACCATGCGAGTTGCAAAATTAAGGTTGACAAGTATGACCTGGAAATTTTTTCGGATGCCTCAACAACGGGGTGGGGTATAGCATGTGGTAATCAGAGAGCTAGTGGTCTTTGGAGTTTAGAAGAAAGCAGGCAGCTTAATCTAAAAAATACACTTAATTATGATAAAATTATGTCCATACCAAGGACATTAGATTCGGATATTGACTGGTGGAAATGTTCTATCCACCATGCGAGTTGCAAAATTAAGGTTGACAAGTATGACCTGGAAATTTTTTCGGATGCCTCAACAACGGGGTGGGGTATAGCATGTGGTAATCAGAGAGCTAGTGGTCTTTGGAGTTTAGAAGAAAGCAGGCAGCACATAAATTTCTTAGAAATCATGGCCGCTTTTATTGGCCTAAAAATATTTGCCAAACATCTTTCCAACTGTCAAATCCTCCTTCGCATTGATAATACCACTGCTATTTCCTACATTAACCGTATGGGAGGTATCCAGTTTCCACACTTGACAGAAGTTACAAAACAACTCTGGCAGTGGTGCGAGTCCCATGGTTTGTTTGTGTTTGCTTCATACATTCGCTCATCGGAAAATGTAATCGCCGATGCAGAGTCAAGGCGAATCCATCCCGACATTGAGTGGCAACTTGCAGACTATGCATATAATGAAATAGTTCATAAATTAGGCACCCCAAATATAGATTTATTTGCAAGTCGAGCTAACAAAAAATGTGCCATCTATGCCTCTTGGCATAGAGACCCGGATGCGTACGCCATAAATGCGTTTACAATTTCGTGGTCAAGTTATTATTTTTATGCGTTTCCTCCCTTTACAATGATCTTAAAATCCTTAAGAAAGATCATTTCTGACAAAGCCAGGGGTATAATGGTTGTACCGCAATGGCCTGCGCAACCGTGGTATCCACTTTTTAAACAACTTTTAGTGTCAGAACTTATAGTATTCAAAGCGGCAGAGAATTTAATTATATCAAATGATTGCAGTCGCCGCCGCCCCATGCACACAACGATTACCCTGGTGGCAGGAGTCTTGTCCGGGAGGCGATGATAAGAAGAGGAATCCCACTTGAATCATTGGACATTATATTAAATTCTCTGTCAGAAAACTCGTATAAACAATACGAAGGGTGCTATAAAAAGTGGTTCACTTATTGTAATGAGAATAAGTTGAACATTTATGAAGTATCGATTCCGGATATAATTAAATTTTTCACTGTCGTGTACAATGAGGGAGCTCAATACGGTACATTAAATTCATATAGGTCAGCTTTGGCATTAATAATGCAAAATAACATTTCTGATAATCAATGCATTAAAAGATTTTTCAAAGGGGTTTTCCGCTCTAGGCCATCAAAACCTAAATATAACGAAACTTGGGATACATCTCTGGTATTAAATTATCTTGGTAAATGGTACCCTAACGAAGGACTGAATAATTCACAAATTTCAAAAAAGCTTATTACTCTTTTAGCCCTTGTCACTGCACATAGAGTGCAAACATTTTCTAAAATTAAAATTAGTAACATACATGTAAATGAACAGGAAATCAAAATCAAAATCCCAGATTTGATAAAGACATCCAAGCCTGGATCAGCTCAACCGTTACTGGTCTTACCATTTTTTAATGAACGACCAGAGATTTGTCCCGCAAAAAGTTTGCTTTCTTATATTGAATTAACTAATTGTTATAGAGAGAATCATGATTATCTGTTTTTAAGTCTTCATAGACCTCATAATCCCGTTGGTACACAAACCCTATCTAGATGGATTAAGGATGTCTTATCCTTAAGTGGAATTGATACTTCTACGTTCACTGCGCATAGCACCCGACACGCAGCGACATCAGCGGCAAAAAGGCTTGGAATTAATATTGATCAAATCAGAAAATCTGCGGGTTGGAGCCCTAGCTCCCATACTTTTGCCAAGTTTTATAATAGGCCAATTGTTAATAATATGTCAGATAATTGTATGGCCAGAACTATATTGAATGATTCAACAAATAAGTAAACTAATTGTTTTTTGTTTTCTAAAGTTTCAACATAAATAATGATTATATATAGCCTTTCATTTACATATTTTACGACTATGTCTCTAAATATCTACAAGTGTTTAATATGCTAATCTCGAGAACGAAGCATGAAGTATAATTAGAGATTAAACGAACTTACCTGTAAGTGAAGTTCTATCCTAATTATACGAAGGCTTCGTTCGAAGAGATTAGCAACCCTCCCACCCAATCGCTGTCTCTCTTACCCTTTAAAGTCGTAAAATATAAACGGCATAACTCTAAACTGAATGATGAAAATGGCGGAATGAAGTTATTGGGAAGGGAAAAATCGAGTTACCCGACAAAAAAAAAAAAAAGTGTGAAATAAAAATTCTCAAATAGTGTTGTGGAATGGTGAGTGCTACACGTTACTACAAGTGTTTAATATGCTAATCTCTTCGAACGAAGCCTTCGTATAATTAGGATAGAACTTCACTTACAGGTAAGTTCGTTTAATCTCTAATTGTTATTAACATGCTTTAAGTAAATGGGACGCTTTGGTATTCTTTAGTATAATGACGAGGAGCTGGTTTGTAATTGTGATTCGATCATAGCTTTACTTGATATTCAGTAAAATGTACTTGTTTTAGGCTGAGATGCACCATCTACCTCACTTTGACCGAAACTATAACGTTATGTATGGAGTTTGACAGATTTTTGACGTACACGTACTATTAAATCTTAGGCAGTCGTAAATTTTAGCTAGGTCCACGGGCCAAGTCGTCGGATTAAATATTTTTTCTTCCGGCAACTGTGCCCATATTCAATGTGCATAATTAATAAATTAAATACCAAATCAACAAAAAGCTACTCTAGAATCTTAGTGGGCACAGTTCGTTCGTTTCAGCCGAAAGACGTCCACTGCTGGACAAAGGCCTCCCCCAAGGATTTCCACAAGGACCGGTCCTGCGCCGCTCGCATCCAGGGCCCAGTTGCCGGAAGAAAAATATTTAAAAATTCAATCCGACGACTTGGCCCATGGACCAAACTAAAAGTGGGCCAAGTCGCTGAAACACTCATAAATATTACAGATCTTGAAGAATAAGTATAATAAACCTATTCTCTTACAGGCCAAATGAACTGCCCACTCATCTATACGAAAACATAAAGTTAGAAACCGCAGCTTACACTGTTATTACGTTCAAACCGTAATGTACCCTGAATTATGTTTATTGGATATATCCAACACAACAGGAGTGTATGCTATAAACATTATTTATCTACCAGTAAAACAATTCGGTAGGCTTGTGGTCGGACCACCGGCGCGCGAGTGCGTTTCACTTAGTAGCCGGCGGATCATAAGCGATAGCGGGTAGGGCAATCTTATCATTAATCAGTGATTAAAGATAAGATGTTTTGTTTATTTGGAAACATAATGATTCATTGTCAATTTTAAAAATCCATATAGGTAGTAGATATTTCATAATATTTTTTCAAGATCAATGTTTAAATATTCATTGCATAGAATTTGGATAACCGCGAGCTTTTTTCCATGATATTATATTAGTACCTCAGACGTATAAAAAGCTGATAAGCTCTACAAAAGTCACTTGAAATGTTAAATTATTTGTGAATTTAGTGACTTTAACAATAATTTTAGTAGATCCGTGGTAAAAATTTCGTAAAAAAAACTTTCACACAAGTTAGTTTAATCTGAGCAGATAATCAGTCTATGCTTACAGTTTACTAAATTACACTTTGATCAATAAGGTAGAGTCAATAGCACCTTTCACAACTAAGTACTTAAAGTCCCACAGTGTATCTTACACTTTGTGAATAAACACGCTCTGTGATGATGTGCTCCTTGGTCTGTGATGATGTGCTCCTTGGTCTGTGATATTAACAACGCTCCCGCTACCGCCTATGTCTCGCCTCCCCGTTCAAATATTTGACACGAGCGAACGAGATCTGTTTGTATGCGCGTGCGTCGAAAGTGGCAGTGTGTTTGCGTTACAACTTACGACTGTTTTAGGTTTTAGTCGGGTTCGTTAATTTGCTTGATCTTTTTTGGTGTTTAAGCATCGTTCTTTAACGCTGATGAATGATGATAGTAAATAAATACATCCTTGGGCATTTTGATGGCGGTAACTTGTTCTAAACTAAGCAAAAGTTGTACTAAGTATGAATACCATATTTAAATGGGTTTTAGTTGCTTATGCCAAAGCTCTTATTCAGTAGTTAGTCTTATGCCCGTTTTCACCATCAATCCCTAATTTTTAAGTGACCCCTATAGTGGTAACACATAACAGGAATTTTGTTTTCATAGGGGCCATTTAAAAATTAGGGATTGATGGTGAAAACGGGCATTAGACCATTTCCAGGGCGCCTTTACACGTCCCAAATATAGCTTGCTCTACCAAATAGTTGTTATAAGTATTATACATAGAAAACTCAGAGCAATGTAAAGGTCATCGTGCATTGTGCGGCAAATGAACCTGCAACTTCTAGCACAGTAGTCTGACACGCCAACCACCAAGCTATTGGACCATAATGTGGTAATTAGCGATGCTAAGTCATTTAGTTCTCATAAGTATTTCTAGATTTTTTATTCTGCCTATAAATTCATTACTGATCCCAAGACATATCGTTAATAGTGAAATACTATTTTTTGTACTAAATAATAATTAATTAGTCTTTTCAAGACTACTAATGTATTATAATATGTAGATGGGACTAGCCAGTGCGGTACGTTAGAGAAAGAAAAAATATTCATAATGTACTATGCCTTTGGCATAATGACGCTCTCATGTTCTTTCCAGTAATTAACGATAGAGCATTATGTTCAAAAACTTTTATGCTAAACTTAATTACAGCTTAATATTCATTACTGGAAAATTCAATCACCATAATCCGTAAAATTTTATTTTATTTGCCTAACTCGCGTACCTACAGTTCTCATAAGAAAGAGCTGGCGCTTCCAAAAGATCTGACCTAAACCAAGATTACCTTCAACTAAACTTAATAAGGTTCATTTTACCTTAAAGCTCAGATGTTTTCTTCACACTTATCATAAGCCTTTTGATGTGAACTGTACACGCTAAAACCTCCGGCTCCGTTAATTTACATGATTTCTCAATAAATTCGCTTGGTGTAAACAAAATTGATGCCGTACAAAATTTTATTAGCCCCATCAACTTATCTAGGATGGTTTCATTACCACATCTTCTCATTAATTTAGCCAATTAACACGCCATCTTTGCTTTGGGACTTTAACGCTCGTATTCACAAACGGTGCTTGCTTAAGTGAAGCAGCAAATCAAACGCACAGCGTTGAATAGAGCTCTGTGATTGGTTGTTATGTCACCCTGTGCGTCCACGCCCACGCGCACTTTGAGACCTCATAGTGATGCTTGTGAATACGGGCGTAAGACCTTTATACGTGACGTTTTATCGTAGATGTGCATTATTATTATACTAATTTTGCCTTTCCCTATTTACTCCCACTAAGAAAGATCGATTTTTTTACACAAGCATATTTAGCTTAGTACGAAAGGCTAACCGGGACTATTAGTAATTTGTGCAATAACAAATTACTAATAATCTTTGAAAAAAATCCATAAAACATTTACTTATTTCATTTTATTTAAAGTGATTTTACGTAGTTTTTCATTGCTCAAGCGTGGGCGCCATCGCGTCGCGTCGTTGGGAAAAATTTCAAATAAAACAAGACCATTCTGACATAATTACCTTGTTCAAAAACCGACTGTACCTATACTTTTAATCAGTCTATTACCTCTAGATTTTCTAAAAACACAAATGTAAAAAATCCTAAACACTCGTCAAAATCATTAATTAATTATCTATGTTTGCTGTTAATTAACTTAAAAATTAAAAATACAATGGGTACTTTCCATCGTTTTCGCAAGTTTTCGATTGTTTCGTGTAGAGAAAGCTTGTAGGAACTGAAACAAAACACTATTATTGCGTGAGATATAATTATATTTTTATTGCGTTGTATCGTCGTTTTGTGTAGCTTTTAATTATTTTTAGCAATTTATTGATCGCGGCACCTTTAATTGCTCGTATTATTGGGATAGAATCAATTTATTGTTCTCATAATTTTCACAAAAAAAAACACACAAAACACTTTCAGAAGCCTGAAAGGCTATGTGCTAAAATGTACTAGAGACTTTTGCCCAGTAATGGGGACCTTGTCCAGAAGACATACATGTAGGCCTCCTAGGATGCGCGCCGCAATAAGCGTTTATCACGCCATTTTATCGTCTTTTCGCGATTCATTTGTCATCTAAAATCATCGATAAAATTTTATCATGGCACGAATCCTATCCTAACCCGTCTTTTTTTGAAGTACGTATAATAGTATCGTAATGAATCTTGAATTCTTGCATTGAACCAAAACTTGTGTGAAAATTTCTACAACTGTAAATTTGAATCGCTCGAAAGCGATTGATTTACATACTGCTTTTGAAATCTATTACACGTTTACTATAACTCCATAACTGCATAGAAAATTCGGTAAAACTTGAAAACTATGAAACCAAGATTAACATAAATAACAAACATTAATTATGTTGTGAATTCCTAACGACCTGTGAAATGTGTGAAATACCGTACGGCAATAATAAAATTAACAAGCGATTGTCATGTTACCGAATACGAGAACTTAAACTATTCAGAAATTAGCATTTTGACCATTAATAAATTACCGCTACACGCATCACAGCGGGACTGTGAGAATCGTATTTTGAGTACCGCGGTACAGTTGTCAAATGGTTTGTGACACCCAAAGTGGCCAAAAAGCTGACAACACAACCTTATTCCAATAAGGATTTTCGCGTATGAAAGATCCGCTAGATGGTGGGACGTGGATGTGGCGTCTGACTGCTGCGTGATTGGTGTCTGACTGCTGCGTCATGTCAAAAATAACCAATCATGCAGCATTTGGACCTCTCGTCTACGTATTGCCATCTGGCGGATTTTTCATACGCGAACCCTCATTGTAACAAAGACGTGTTGCGAGCTTTTTGGTTACTTTGGGCACAATTATTTGATCCTGACTGTACGGCAGGGTCATGTCTAATCCGTTCGAATACTAAATCAATGTCATCTACACAGAGAGTGACTGGCCACAACTGCATATTTTTTTCTTTTTTTCCATCACCATTTCG